TGTTTTCTTTTCCTTTTCTTTTCCTTCTCTTCTTTTTTCTGGGATATTGTTTTTGATTTGTAAAAGATTAATTTTTAAATTTCTATTTTTTTAGAGGAGCTATTAGTAAAAGTAGAAATGCAAATTAATACAAAATTTAAATTCTATCAACGATGTAAAAAATAGATTATTATTTGTTGTATAAAAATAAAATTAATATTATTGTAAGTTAGTTATTAAAAATTATTCCTGAATATCGAGAGTTTCGAATTTACAAATCATAAAGGAAGCAAAAATTTCCATGTGGAACAGGAAACTATTTGAATTTCAGAAAATTTCGAGATCTCGAAATTAACTTACTCCTATAGATTTATCCCTTTAGATTTTCGTTGATCATGGGGAAATTATTATTTTTCATTATTAGATATCTTTTACCTAAAAATTTTTATAAAATTTTTATAAAATTTTTAGGTAAAAGATTATTTTTATAAATAATTGTATTATATATAAATTTAATATGTTATATAATAATAAATAGCATTAATTAACAGTGATTGTATAAATAATACAATTTTAATTTAAATATTTTATTAATTTACATAAGTTTTAAATTATTAAGTTTTATATTAATACTTTTATCACACAAATCTTTCTTCTCTATTATATTATTCTCATAATCCAATATAGCCTGGAGATAATCTTCATTGAATCGAATTTTCATAAAGTGTGTACATCTGTGTAATTTCATTTTAACGTTTGAGAAATTTAATTTAATTTTCACAGTTTGAAATTCAATAAATTGGTTAAATGTGGAAGAAATGTAATAAAAATTACATAAAATACTTTTCCTATGTTAAATATTGACATGATTTTCCAGTAACATATCGGATATGATTTAAAAGAAAAGTAAAAATATCTATTTTCAACTGAATCGACAAGTTGCTTAATGTAATAACGCTTGAGACATGATCAAACGGCGCAGTGTTCCGGCAAAACCACTTCAAAGGGCTTCCTCGCAATCCTATTCAATTTGAAGCGTTAAAGCAAAAACTTTTCAGTTTATGCTTGAAATCTTAAGTGTTTTTAATTAAAGAGATTTGGCTACGCAAAAGTCAAGGAAAAACTTTTCGAAAAAAAAGATCCAATATATATCTATATATACTGTTAAATTTAAATTTTCGATTCATGCTTAGGATCTTAAGTGTTTTTAATTAAAGAAATTTGATTACGCAAGAGTCAAGGAAATGTTTTTGAAAAAAAAAGATCTAACATGTCTTAATAAATTTAAATCCGCTTCTTTTTATAGATTTTCGCTGAAATTATCGTTGGAATTAATATTTCGTGGTTCATAAATTTTTTCATGGCATCGATTATATATCATTTGAAAATTTGAAATAAAAATAAGAAAAATCAGGTAACACTGTCTTAATCTAATTTTAATTATCACTTATTACGCTCTGATTGGCCTATTACCCGAAGAATTAATGGAAGATAAAAGGAGATTGACATAGAAGAAAGAAAAGAGATAGAATATAGATGAGATTATACAGCAGCAATAATCTTAAAGAATTACTTTACAGTAAAAAATTCTGTGACTTATCCTATCAAAAGAAATGCAAATTAATGCAAAATTTTCCTCCTTCTATCCATCCATAAAGAAGTTCTACCATTCCACTTTACAAAATCTCTTATGTTTTAATAATGAAATCAAATAATAAATAGATACTAATGAAGTATCAAACAATGTTTGGTTTGAATGCATTGTATTGACGGTGTTGATGGAAATGCATCGATTACGGGGGAACACCGATGTTTAATCCGTTCGTGTCAGGAAATTCAAAGTAAGTGACTTTACGCGAGCTACTTCTGCAGCAGCGGCGAAACCAATTATCCTTCTGCATTCGAGCTTTGAGCCTCGGCAAGGGTGCACGCCAGGGCCTCTCGAATCACCGTGTCAATCATTCGCCAATTAATCCCGGGAAATTATTGCTTGGATTGATTCACCTACCCAACGTGCCTGACAACCAGATCAAGTGTGCAAAGTGCACTTGCGTCTGACTTTGAGTAGGCTGGAGACTGATTCTATGATTTCTCGTAGCACGTACCAACTTAGACCGTAAATGAGTTGAAGCATGGATGTTTTTCCATGTTTTATACGTTTTTTGTTGAGATGTTTCATGAATTTTCTTATAGTAATCACAGTTCTCATTGTCGGCTATTGATTGTTTTAGTTCTATATATTCTATATATAGATTGCTATAGTTGGTTCTGTGATTGAGATTAAGACGAGAATAAAAATTATAAATTTTGCTCATAGAAAATTTTATTTTATTTCGTATTGATATTCGAGATAACTAGTATCGAAATAAAATTTTTGAAAGTATAATAATAAACTGCAATAATTTTTTATAAATAACAATAGAATATTTAATTAAATTTTATTAACGTATCATGCTGCATGATTTGTTTCCTGAGAAAAATTGTCGAAAGACATTTGACTCTTTCAAACACCTTCCTTGAATAGCCGCATAAAAATAACTATTAATCTTGCTTGCTAGATTCAATCGTATTGGTCTGACAAAGCAACGTTCTATTCTACTCCGACAACTGAATACGATTCTATTCTACTTGCTCGGCACTCGAACACTTTCCAATTCTATTTGTCTGACAATTTATTCATTTATATTATTGATTTGTGTTATTTCGCAACGATACTAATTATAATTCAAGTTAACTTCAGAATATTTTTGAATTTTGAATGTTATTTTTATACAAGTTACGAATTTGAATATCATATTATATTGAAAATACTTAATTCATTCAAAATTCATTAATCTTTTGAATTGTTATTTTCTTTGTTGTTAACCACAATATAAATTCAACGCAATCATTTATTAATATTAATCATTTCAAGTTAAACAATCATCATTATTATTTAAATTAAGCAAAACCTGTATCAACGTTATTGATTATTTTCATGTAAATTTAAAAAATTGAAATATCGTCTAATCGAGACGTTCTCTTCTAAATTAAATTATTACTCACTCATCAATTCTCCTTTCTTTTCAGGAAGTGCGTTATCCGAAGAATTAATAAAAGCTAGATGGAAGAGAGGATGGTGATTCGTGAAGAAGAGAGGAGAAGGAAAGAGAAGAAGAGGAATGGAGCGGCATCCGATGGAGAAAAGGACAGAGCATAGACAAGTACCACTCGCGGTTCCGTATTTACATAAAATAATCTATAGCGCCAGGACGTGGCGAGAAATTACACCGTGGCTTCGCCAAGCTCAAGTACTTGCGCTCACCAACGTCCAACGACTGGTATTTATTATTGAAAATCGATTTTCGAACTCTCGGCAAACGTCGGGCATTAAGTAAAATATAAACGTTGAAAAACAATAAGTATCTTCATAAGGAATTATTTTATAGCCCGTTTAAGTTTGATTAATCAATATTTTTATGTTAAAATAACAATACTCAATTTCTGATTTCATTAATTTTCTGGTAATAAAACTGGAATAATAGTATTAGTCCAGAATTAAAATTGAGTTTAAAATTTTTTTCAAAAGATATATTTGTTAGAAAGAAATTAATATATAAATAAAATGTAAGGAATGATCTGGAGAAGTTAAATAATTTTAAAATATTTTTACAAATAATATATTATAAATAATTTTAAACCTATTTTCTATAAATTTAATGCCAAATTAAAATTTATATGCCAAAGTATATTGTACCATTATTGACTTCTTTTAATCCCTAATCATTTTTCCTAGATTATTCGATTTTATTATTTAAACTATCTAAAGATCATATATTCTTCATCTATAATATTATTATTAACGTAAAGAATTCTTATAAACTTCTTTATTTTCTATTACACTCAATTTCCATTTCATTTTTACAAATAAAAGAAATACATTAATTAAATTTTCTCCTTCCATTTCCTTCCTTCCATTTCTTTTAACTTCAAGAAACTAAAAAAAACAAAACAAAAAATGGATATATTCAAAAATCTCATACAGCCACTGAACACACAGAATCCAAGCCTGTTAAAATTTTTCCAAAGCCCCGATCGTTCCGTCAAATGGTTAACTTCGCGGTCGAGAAAGCAATTTCTTACCGCCGATCATATATCTTAAATCAGTTTTACGAGCTGGTGTATACGAGGCACGGGGTTGGAGGAAAGGGCGAGGAAAAAGGCGGAAGAATGTACGTAGTCTGCTGCATCGATGTCGGGGGATACGCGGGGGTTGGGGTGGAACAGTCTTGGAGGAGGCGGAGGTCACGTCATTTCGTGTTATTAAATTTATATAGATGGCACGGACCTCTGATCCCCACGACGTAGATTTGTCAGAGGGCATGGAGCAGGGGGTAGGATAAGGGTTGAGGAACACCGACCCCTTGCAGCCCTTGCGGGAATTCAATATTGCACTTGCCCGTGTCCATCCTTGCGTGGCGTTCCTCCTCGGCCCCCCTTGGGGAACCGGCAAATGTTTGTGAATCTAATGCAACCGTTCTCAGATTTGATGGTACAGAGAGAAAATGTGACGCCATTCACCCTGGCTGACAGATGATACGTTGAAAAACGGTCGGATTACGAATCCAAGGATGGAGGTGACGCGTGAAATGGAAGAAGGATTAATAGAAATAAGAGAATATAGGATAAGTAGAAAGTGGAAGAATAGGACGATTTGAACGAGAATATTTTGAGTTTTTGATGAATTTTGGGATTTTTTAAAGATTAAAATTTTGTAATGGATCATTTGCTATTAATCTTTCTTTTGAATTTTATATGATAATATCAGAATATTTATACTTTGTGGGATATCTTTATAAAGAATCTAGAGATTTATTCATCAAGTTATAAATAATTCAAATTCATGTTGATGAACTTAATAAATAAATCTCAACCGACATTTTTGTATGTTCTTGTATTGCTTTGTATCGATAATATAAATTATTATTATTGTTGCTCGATACTCAACATACTGAAATAAATATGTACACATAATATCTCCTTAAAATATCAATACTTAATTAATTAATATTACATTAAAATTTATAATGTTCATGTATGTAATTTATAATGTCTTAAACTTGACTTACGAATAGAAGATATACCACCTGAAACTACTTAGAAACTGAAACATCATTTTCATTATTTCAATAATGTCAGATCTCGACTTTCATCCCGTTATCCCTTCTCCCCTTTCCGATTGGATTTTCCATTCCGAGTACACAAAAGGCCGGGGAAATTCGAGTTTCCAAGAATTTGATCGACGACGTGGCAGGATCTGAAACAAGAGAGAGTGGGCGAACGCGATTAGCGGGAAATCCGATCAGAGGATCAACGTCGTTCTTTCATGGCTGTAGAGGGATATCGAATCAGTCTATTTTTCTCTTTCTTCTTTTTGTTTTTTTTTTCTTCTTCTTTTTTTCTCCTCTTCAAAAAACGAAACCATCTAATATTCCGATCGTGTACGTAAGCTGTATGTTTACCCCGCGGTAATAGGCAGTGGAGCGTGCTTCGATTTCTTAATTTTTCACTTTCCCTCGATGATGGATCAAGTAGAAGTTAACTTTCAAATTGGCGAAGAAAACAAGTAAGAAAAAATTCGAGACCTAAGACTCTTTTCTAATTTACGAATTTAGAACAAAAAAGTATAAAATATAGCTTTATTTTTATTTATATATTCGAAGTTTGGAGGATTGATTTTAGAGGCCAAAATAAACGTAAAAGTTATTATACAAGAATGTTGATCGAGGCTTATTTATTAAATTACGAATATTTTAAGTTTGCGGAAGATGAAGAGAGTAAGAGCAATGTGACGAAGATGAAGCATCCAAATATATTCCACAAATTTATTAATATTCATATATTTTTTAGAATAATTCGTTTATGATGAGTTTTGTTAAAAAATATTGTTAAAATTATTACTCGAATTTAATGTTCTATGATAATTGCAAATATGTTCTTTGTTTATTTATTTGAAATTTTATCTTTCACATTATTATTTTATTTTATCAACAGTCATAATAATGATTTATGTATAAATTATATTTATATTATTATTTATTTTTATTTTAGCGAAAATAAAGAATATTTCTTTATTTTTTTCAAATTAAACAAAAGATTTAAACTATATATTAAATGTTTGATAAAATAAAATCATATTTTTTAATTGATGATTTAAATTCTTTAATAAATTAATCGCTTCATCTTATTTTCTTTGTACTGGAGATTTTTTATCTCTTCTTAAAATAAAATCTCCCAAAAGAAATATTTTTTAAATTTTTATAAATTCCTCCAAAAAAGCTATATTTTTATTAAGAAAAAAAAAGAACCAATAAATAAAACGATTTAAAATAATACATAATCTAAATAAATATAAGTCAAGTAATGGACATTTTCAAACTTTCGCAAGAATTTGCGCCCTCTTGCATCGATGTTTCAAAACTGAGGTTAAGAAAAAGATGGGTTAAGAAAAAAAAGAGAAAAAACTATAACGATGGAGGGCAAGTAGAAACACGAGGGCAAACGAAGACACGCGAAACAGTTGCTCAAAGCTTAGCGAGCTCTTCTATTTTTCTTTGCCCTCCTTTCCACCCTTACTTTAATGATGAGGCTGACCCATCCTCGTTCTCCGTTATCCGTGGTGCAAATGTAACCCATATGGCATACGTGCCAGTTTTTTGTGGTACCAGATGAGAGCCACCTTGTAAATGAAATGGACTGCCAGCCGATGAAACTTCACCCGTATATATTTCCCTCTTTCTGAAAAATATAAAAATAAAAACAAGGAATCGCAAACAAAAAAAAGGGGGGAAGGAAGGAGAAAAAGAACAGGAACCTTTTACATAAATCGTTCGAAACAAATTGAAAAATTTGTGTTCGCAGATAATTTCACGTTTAATTTCATTTCGATGATATTTATTTAAAATTATTATTAATTCCTGAACATATTTTTTTTATCTTATATGTATATATACCATACATATATATTTAATAAAACAATTTTTCCTCGTTGAATTATCTGCATCGGAAAGTATGCCGAAATGCTCTCGTATATTAAGTGAATAATTTTATTTGCTTTTACGATAATTGGTTTTTTAACGACTTTCACATCGTTCCATCGTTGGCTGCGTGTACGCGTATGTGGAACGTAGGAATTTAAATAAAATATAAATTTTTACCTCTGACTGATAGATCGATATTTATTCAATTGATTCAAGGCTATTCGAAAATAGTCTACATATTGATATTCGCATCGTTTAATATCTTTGTTTCATACATTCAATTTCGAAAAATACCTTGTCTTTTTATATTTTCTAACGTTATTCTTATTAACTTTGTTCTATAATATGAATACAGATTCTTTTTCATAATATATATATTATATTTTTTTTTTTTTTCAAAATACAGATATCACAGATCTCGATATTCTTCTTATTCAGCTTTCTGCCATTTCATTCTTCCGTACTCCATTCAGTAATGAAGTTCACTTTCATTCAAAGTTAAATACTCGGGGTAGAAGTTTCAACCCCTCCTTTTAATGATTGATACTGACTCACACCCGTTTGGAATGTATAAATGACTAATTAGTTCGGTGACACAAGAAGGGGAAAGGCGTGGAGGATGCATAATTTAAACGTCCATTACCGTACACGCCATAGTTCTTCCCTAATACGCACGAGGAACCGTGCACTTTAATTTTCCCCGGAAAAGTCAAGCGTGTACAACTTCTATCCTTCTTGGTTTATCGTCGTTGTGGTAAAAGTATGAGATAAGGAAAATTCTCGATCGTTTTCTAATATTGCGTGTAATTGATAAACAATTCAATTGTATATCTTGTATATCTTCAAATTATCTTAAGTTATACTTAAGATAAATTGTTTTTTGAAATTACAATCATTGTCGTCTGAGTTAATTCTCGATTATAATAGAACATTGAATTAATGATTGAATGAATTTTTATCATTAAATAATATATTTGAAGCCGAAAATTTCTATTAAAAATAAACAATGGAAATGGTTATTGAATTGTGTGTAAATTCATTAGAAATTTTTAATGGCTTCTTTATATTGATATCAAAGAAATATAATTCTTATAATTAGTCGTACTATTTTTTTTTTTTTTGAAAATTTTTTATTATATTTGTCTTGGTATTCTTTAGATTGGAATAGATTCATGAGACTGCATCATCGTCTTTTTTTTCCTATCTTGCTATTCTTTCTCACCTTCCATCTTTTCATATATATTGCGAAATTAATTACAGTAGAGTTCCTTTAATTTCTGCATTTTTCTTTTTATTTTAAGGTAGAGGAAGAAAAATTTCCCCTACATACTAATTTTACTGACCTTTTTCTTATTAAGCTAGTTAACCTATCCTTCTATATTTTAAACAGTAGATGATTTTATTTTTTTGTATCTTGAATTTGTAAATTTAATTGTTGCAGAATGAGATTAAAAAATTCTATTAACTTAATTCACTAAAATATCAAAAAATATTATTAAATTTTCAATCTTATTTGCAACCAAACATTATTATTATAATATAATATAATATAATATAATATAATATAATTAACTATATATTTTATACTTTATATAATTCCATTCCACAAAAAACAAATAAAATAACTCGTTAAATAATTTTTTAAATAACTTAAGAAAAAGATACAACGAACTAAATTAAAACGATCGTCTGAAATATTCTATATTTTCCTATATTTTCCTCCTTTTAACTAAAGCATAAAATTACCATTAAGAATAATATATATACCCAAGAGGCCGAAAGAAGGTCAATAGAGTCCTCTGGCGAAATAAAATTCGCCAAAGCGCGAGGGATTAATTAACGAGAAACCATTAAGGGAAGGAAAACACGGAGAGAAAGTCTGTTTTTCAATAACCGGAATGAAAGCAAACGCGAAACAGGTCGGCTTTCTTCCAGTCGAAAACTTATGGACGACACCCAATATTGTGATTGCTGGGCGAGTATAATGTCGCGCAGCCACCATAGATGCAACGAGGAAGAAGAAAGAAAGATGGAGAGGAAAAAAAAGGGTGGAACAGGGCGAGCGATAGGTTCCACGT